ACCCACTTTGGGCCCCTGCCTGTCCCCTGACTGACTGGGGGCTGGAAGTGAGGGAGGGAGCGTTTGGAGGGAGAAGCCTAGGGGCCATGGGAGTTCCACAGGGCAGGGGACTCGGGCCGCTGCGGAACAAGGACAGTGGTAGCTGGGTGTCCCAAGGAGGTGCCTGGGATAGAGGGCTTTGCCGGTGTCACTCTTAACACGGGCTCCTTGCCTCCAGGATGCAGTGGCAGTACCACAGGCAGCGACTGGCTCTGGGTGATACCAGCTCCTACTGGGAGCCCAGAGCCTTGCAGTTTGTCCCATGAGCCTGGTAAAGTTAGGGTGGGAGCTGCTGGCGGGGCCTGGGATGCCCTCTCCAGCCACCTGCAGGGCCCCTCTTGGCTCTGCAGGCTGCAGGCATGCCCAAGTCCAGTTCCACAGCCTCTCACCAGGCACAGCTCACTTCTACGGCCCCTGCCAGCCTGGAAGGCAGAAGCTCCTAAGTTTTCAACTTCAGCTGCTAACCAGTGGCCTTTGCTTACAGGTAGACTAAAAGACGTATTTAGTTGTGGCTAAGGAAAAAAAGATAAAATATGACAGGCTTTTTTTAGAGACAAGGTCTCGCTATGTAGTGCAGCTTGACCTTTGAATGTGCTTATGTAGCGCAGGCTGGCCTTGAACTTGCGGCAATCCCCTTGCCTCAGCCTCTTGAATGCTAGGATTGCAGGCGTGTGCCACCATACCTAGTCCAGCTGCATGGCTTTAATTACCTCTATAAGCCATGCAGGCATCACCACCATCCCTTCCCATCTCTTTGGAGCCCCCCAGTAATGTTATGTGACAGAAGGACTGAATGAATGACCACTTCTAATGAGACAAGTGTGGACAGGCCTCCCCTTGTCCTGTCAGAGCTGCAGAGGACATCTTCCTCTGTGCTGACCCTCTCCTCAGAGCTGCCTGTGTACACATCTGTCACAGCAGCTACCCCAGGTCTCGGCCTGATCCAGACATTTCCACACCCAAGATTAGGCAGAAGGGCTGAGGCACCAAGCAGGGGAGCGCAGCTTCTGGCCCTGGCCACTAGAGGGCAGCCAGGAGCTGCTTGTGAAATGATGACTATTTCTCACTGCCCTGGGCAGTGGATTGTCTTCTAGACTGGTCGGCTGAGAAGTGATTTACTCTGGAGGCCAAAATCCAGTGAATATGCGGACCACTTGAGCTCCCCTGAAACCCGTGGGGCCCCTGTCTTGCCTGTTCCTGCGTGTGTGATGACGCCCTTGGTGTTGCTATGCATGCATTCACTCCAGCTTCCGTCCACGATGCCCTGGGAGTCTTCTGTGGTCCTCACGTATCTTGGAGACAGGGTTCAGTTTACCCAGTGTGACCTCAATTTACCTGATTATACCTGTCACCACCCTACTTCCAAATGAGGCCACAGCCTGAACCCTCTTGAGGACAGGGATGGGAGAGGACATAATTTAATCTCTTAACAGGTGACAAAGAATTAGTCCAGTCAGGCTCATGATTCATTAGCTTTGCGTGCCAGGGGGCTCTAGCTTTTGAGCTTGGCGGTGCAGGAAGTCTGTTCTCAGAACAGGGCACTTCCTGTGCCCACCCCCGCAGAGCCTGGCCCGAGACGGCACTGGCCTGCCATGACCTGTGTCCCCCACAGCTGCAGGAGCCGGGGGTGTGCTGGTCCTGACCCCTGCCTGTCTTTCAGAACCAGCTGTCTGGGAACCTGCTGAGGAAATTCAAAAACAGCAACGGGTGGCAGAAGCTGTGGGTGGTGTTCACAAACTTCTGCCTGTTCTTCTACAAGTCACACCAGGTGAGTGGCCGGCAGAGGCCCGGGGTGACCGTGCACCCAGGGCAGAGTGGTGAAGCCCTGTGTCCCATGCGGCACCTGCGCTCTGGCAGGCAACAGCCTTGGAGGCCCAAAGGATCTCGCCCTTGAGCCAGCACTGCAGAACCCTGACGGGTGTAGGGTGTAGAGCAGCAGGTGTTGTGGGGTCCTGTGCAGCGAGGGGCGGCCATCTCCTGAAGGGCAGCCTTGCGAGGGCATCTAGACAGGAACAGGATGACACAGTGACTCACCTTGTGGCCTGGCCAGCTGTCTACAGTCTACTCCCTCCCAGACCCCAAACCTGCAGCTGGGACACACCTGGGCTCCCAGATACACTACTGGGAGTGGAGTCACAGCCAGACCCCAAGCTGCTGCTCCAGGATCACCCTGTGCCCCTTGCAGGACAATCATCCCCTTGCCAGCCTGCCTCTGCTGGGATACTCGCTCACCATCCCCTCAGAGGCCGAGAACATCCACAAGGACTACGTGTTCAAGCTGCACTTCAAGTCCCACGTGTACTACTTCAGGGCCGAAAGCGAGTACACGTTTGAGAGGTAGGTGTCCCCAGAAGTCCTGGAGTGTCCTCCCCTTCCTGCCTGAGGCTTAATGTGCCCAGTAAACCTGGAGCCTCTGCCCACTGCCAACACACACCTCAGCTGCCCCCTGGAGGCCAGCAGAGCCCAGAGTCCCTTCCCACCCAGTATGGTTAGCTTGGGCCACCACGGTAGCACGTAGGGCACGTGAAGGGGGACAGCTCAGCTCCTCTACGTGGTATGTGAAAGGCGCTTAATTTAGGTGCGAAGAGGGAAAAAGTGTCAGATGACTGATTCTGAGCTAGAGCTCGAGGGTGTTCCTAAAATTCAAGTAGAAAGTGCAAGCCTCTGGGAATTGCATTCCAGAGCAAACTCTGAAAGGTGTCCCCAGGGGACAGGGTCCTCAGGCTATAGAGCAGACAGGGCAGTGGTGACCCAAGACAGTAACTTGTCCTTCCTGGCATCAGCACCATAATGGTCTCCAAATCATTGGGCCCATTATGAGCTGCACACAATCCCTGTGAAATTCCCTGGCAAGGGACCTCAGTATAGTAAAAAAAAATCACATGACACCCACAACATACTGGTTCCTGGGCAGCACTGCTTGGAAAATGAGCCACAGGATCGTGACTCCCAGACCTGATCCTGGATGTGAACACATGGAGGGGGCAGGGCTTCACTTGAGCTGGCTGGATCCAACTTAGGTCCCATTGTCACCTGCTTCCTCCCCTTTCAGGTGGATGGAAGTCATCCGAAGTGCCACCAGCTCAGCCTCTCGGACCCACGTCCTGAGTCACAAAGAATCCCACGGGTACTGATGGCTGGACTTCGCCAGTTGGCGGGCTGCGGCTGCTTTACTGGAAGACATTTACCTTGCGTATGATGAACTCACTCCTGTCTGGACAAAACGTGGTTTTACAGCAACTCCCCGGTTCCCCTCCACAGGTCCCGACCTCGTCTTCTCCCAGTGTGTCATTGGGATGGGCCTGGGGGTCTGCCCGTCACTCCCCAGGGCTGTTCTTTAGCTTGTGCCAGTATTGAGACGTCGTCATTCAGAGAGTGCCAAATGACATTCTCTCCCTCACTGCTGCACCCGGAACAATGCAGTGCACACGCCTCCACCCCACCGGAGACAGGGCAAGTGCTCTTCTTTTTCCTAGAAAAAGGACTTTTACTGTTTTCATCCGTGCGCTACTGTCTTCAAAAACGGATTGTCCAGTGTTTGACACACATGGCGCGGTCTTAAACAAGAGATCATTTTCAGATTTCGGTTTTTTCAACGCTTTCTACTTTTATAATGGTGTGGAAGTTCCTAGGACTCAACTTTCCTTGACTAATAAGTGACCTGCAACACACTCCATTTGGCCGAGGGGTTTCTCACTCCCTTGTCACCAGACCGGCTTCTTGGTGGAAGTTGACCAAATCGTGGAAGTGATTACTATTTACAGACCGTGGAGGCTTATTATCCGTGAAGAGGCAGGAGCCCAGCACGGTGCCTGGGCTGCCGCTCGGTGCTGTGGGTGGTGGGGCCCTGGGGAGCTGTGGTATTTGCCGTCTGTCCCACACGCATGAGAACCTGTTTGTCACTGACCAGAGCCGTCTGTGCTGTTTCGTTGAGGGGGTTTGTGTGAGCTTTGTGGATGCAGAAGCATTGTACAGTCGTGGTACCTAGTGTCCTCCAGTAGTATCTATTGTGCCTGTGTCCCTCCTCTTTTTATACGCACCCCGCCCCGGCATAGGTATCAGCGGTGGGACACTGCACCACCGGGACAGTCACTCTTCACCGGGACCCAGCAGGCCCACAGATGGAAACCCCTCTGCCTGTCCTCTGGTGACTGTCATTCCCTTAGTGTTCTCGAGCCCTTTTAACTCAACTCGGCCAATTCAGCACAGTCCTCTCCCAGCACCCTGTGCCCCCAGCAGGGGATGTCCACCCAACCCGAGACACCAGTGTCGTGGAGCTGTGGCTGTTGTCCACGATTTTCCGATGAGATGAGGAGCTTGAGATGTGTTAATCATTTGCCTTACAATATGTACCAGATGGTTTTCAGTACTAACAAAAGGGAATAAAATACCTCACGCCACAACCCAGCATACTGAAGTTTTAAGGCAAAAGAAACAGCCTTGCCTTTGTCATTATTTGCATCGCTGTGGTGGGGGTGGGGACTGGGAGGGTGAGAAGGGTGGGCGCAAGGAGGGGACAGATGCTCCAGGACATCTAAGAAAGGATAGTGGGGGGGGGGGGGGCACAGCAGGAGAGCAAGGCATGGGGCAGAGTCCTGGGCAGACGAGGAATATACACGTGAGGGGAGGGAGCCCTGGGGAAGGGGCGCCCTCCTGTGGCGAGCTGCCCAGGGAAGGCCTTGGGGACCACAGTCCTCTCAGAAGCATCTCCCACTGGGGAAAATGCCCGGGACCCCAAGGTGGCTAAGCAGCTTCAGGAAAATGCTCCCCTCCAGAAGTCACTGAGCTCTGGAAGGCTTGGGGACAAGGTAGTGGTCTCACCTTGAGCATTTCTGGATGGTTTCTGCAGGTGACCAGCACCCCTTGTGGCCTCAAGAAAACTAAGTGAAAATAACATAGGAAACCCGCTAGGAAGGGACAGTGTCAGACACCCTGTACACACACGACACAGTGACAGGAAGAACCATTTTCGGAGAGCTTTATTGACCCTTGTACGACAGAGTACAAGTGCTCAGGAGCACGCCCTTCAAGGGCCCTCTGCCTTCATCACTGTATTTGGTAGCAGAAATACAGAAGCCATGGTTTTTTTAAGGAAGGAAATATAAAAATGCTTATAAACCAAGCACGTTTTGCCAAAGGAAAAGTACAAAATACTTCACAGAGAACCAAACTACACACTCGACAAGAGCAACTAGAGAACACGACTTTTGGAAGGCAGGTGGCACTTCGTTCCGCCAAGAGGCTAAGCCCGGCTGCGAGGTGGCCAAGGCATCCATCTGATGTCACCCCACTGGCCCACCTCACTGGGTCCAGCTAGCTGGCCACAAAGGACAACTTCAATGGCATAAACCACAGTTGAACTGCACACGGTCATCACAGGGCCACACTACTCAGCTTTCCCAGCTGGCTGCGTGAGCATGGGCCATGGCAGCTCAGGTGACAGCAAAGCCTTCTCTGCTGCAGGATGAAGATGCCAACTTGCTTGGCTAAGCAAGATGCTCCTCGAAGCATTTCAGTTGACTTGTGTGTCTACAGAAAGCAGCAACCCAGGAGAGACTGGACAGCAGGGTGAGCCACTCTTGAAGGCCAAGACAGCCATCATTATCACTGTGCATCTGCCAGAGCCAGTGAAATTCAGAAGGCTCGTCTGTGGCTTTTCTGGGGGTGGAACTATGCATCATCAACCTGGCCAGTGGCTTAGAGAACCCACTCATATTCATACCATGTGCTCAGTTAGGATCTATCCACTAGCACTCAGCAGTTACTAGAACCGAAGCATGGTTTCCAGGGCTGGGACAGAGCTCAGCGCTCGCTAGTTAGGTACGAAGCCCTGGCTCCGTCCATAGCACGCACAGGAGAAAAGGAGACTGGCTTCCATAGCAAAGGCATGTCGCCATCTCCCTGCACAGAGGGCAAGCTCCGTCCATCAGAAAAGCTGCTGCCTGCACCAGTGCTCTCACAGCGCAGCCAGGAACAGCGAGCTGAGTGGGTCTCTCCTGCAACAGCCAAAAGTGGCCTTCAGCTCAAGCTTCATACAAGGAATCATCAGTTCAGTTCTACTTGTCTCATAGGACTATGCAAACCAAATCCGCTTCCGATCAAATGTCGTCATTGAACACAGACTTACAAACCACAGACTTATAAACCAATCACAATACAGCCAGCCCCTACCCTTTCCAGCACCTCAGGCCAGGCCTGTCCTTGGCCCCTGTCCTCTACAGGTCCAGCCCACCAGCCTATGGCTGCGCTGACTTCCCAAGGCTCAGTAACTTCCTTGCCTCCCAAAACCTGTGTCCTACTGCTTAAGAACCAACAAGAGCTGACAGCAATGGACATCAAAAACTAGAAAATGCTACAAATACCTAAGTGAGATAGTCAAGAATTGCAACTAGAACCCTTTCCCATCCCAGAAACCCAGAGATGTGTCCCGCCTTGCCAAGCAATGCCCTGCAGCAAGTGAAGAAAAACAGACACCCTGGTCAACTGGAACCAAAGCCACCTGTTAAGGTCCCAGCAAGAGGTCCAGCAATTTCACAAACCGGCAACACCCAACCACATCTTCTCACTGACCAATCACGCAAGTTGCATAGGTTGCTGACCGGGACAATCAGCCTTCTCACATCCGCTGCTTCCCTGCAGCCTTCTGAGATGTCTCTGTCTCTCTGTCTCTCTGTCTGTCTCTCTCTCTCTCTCTCTCTCACACACACACATACACAGCAGACCTGTGCACTACAGAACTACAGAGGCATGTGTCAAGAAGAGTATGCAAAATAAGTGTTATAAAATTTATTCGTGAAGCATCCAGACACTTCTAGGTGGGCAAGATGATATGCAGACTCCACTACAAGGTGCAACGGAAAATCGTGTCGGAGAGGACAGGACACTGGGTGCAGACGGGCAGTGGCACAAATCCAAACAGAGGTGAGACGAGAGCGCTTCATCTGGGAGAAACTTAAAATAATTTAAAGCTTCATGAGGCAACAGATGATCCAATTTAAACACTAATAGTACCATCGATGAAAAAAGGAAATCAACTTCTAACGTGTACCAAAAGGGTGGAGGGCGAACGAGAGGAAATTTTGCATTTGTCGAGGTACAAAGAGGAGTGTTCATAAGAGGGGCATTCATTATTATTAATGGCAAACCCTGAAAATACAAAAGAAAACCCAAATCACTGGTCACAGAATTCAAAATTTACATGTAATAAAGGCAAGGCAATAGACTCAAGTTATGGCCTGTCGAATATTTACTCCACGGACATTATCTACAGAAGCACTTGGCCAGTATGTGCACAGTGATCCTTCTGCACGCCAGAGGGTTCTGTAAAAATGACACTATATACAAATCTGTACACCCATCCGCCAGGGCACGCCCCGGCCCCCGGGGGAGCGAGCACATAAAGCAGGATACCTGAGGTTTCGCATCTTCGGTTGCCTGATCAGAATCCCAAATATACATTTCAGGGTGGGTTTTTGTTTTTAAAGATAACTTTCCTTGAATATGTGCACTAATGGTTAAAATTAAAAAAACATTAAAAAAATAAAACCACCACTTGAAGGAGCTGACCCTCCCACCCCGCAGAGAGATTCCTGAGGCTCCAGTGCGGTGAGGCGGGCCATCCCTGGCCACGTCGCTGGTCACGCCCCTCGCTGGCGCCTCCTCGGCAGAGTCAGCAAAGGCTCTCAATGACTTTTTAAAAGAAGGAGGATGAAGAAGAAAACAGGAAAAACAAGACCCCGATGGCAAAGGAATTTCAGTGGGATGACGTTCCTCCGCCACTTAGAGAATATCTAGGGGAAAACAGAGACAGGAAATTAAATGAATAAATGTCGTTTCTCTAACCTTGTACAAAACTTCAAATCACAACCAAAGTCTTGGTTAAAAAAAAAAGACCAGTGCAGTAAATAGAAACACCTTAAAAAGCCCTATTTTTGACAACTGCTAATATCTAATGATACAGGAAAGCCCTGGGACCCAGCCCGCAGGGAAACCCTTTCTGGCCGCCAGAAGACTGACTCGGTCCCATGATCTACTTCTAGACTTGCCTCAGAAACAGCACCCCAGACGGAAATCCTGTATTTGCAGAGATGTCTCAGTAGTTTTTGAAACTATAAATATATAACAACTGTATTGCCCAGCCATAGTAAAATGGTTAAATTATAATTGAAAAATACATTAAATAATTATCTATAAGCAGTATGAAAAAGACACGCCAGTTAGTAAGTACATATAAAATGACAGGCACTACACCGTACAGTCTGTGTGCACAAATTCTTTATCATAAACACTATAGGAAAAAGTCATGAGCACTATAATTTGTAACTATCTAGGAAAACTGAGTGGTGTACATAAGTGTATACAACATCAGAAGGCAATGTATTAAAAAATGGTAAGGATAAAAATAGTTAGATAAACAGTGGGACTGCCAGGCATGGTGGTGTAAACCCAGAACTCCGGAGGCGGAGGCAGGAGGATCACTGTGAGTCGGAGGTCAGGCTGAACTACACAGTGAGACCCTGTCTCGCAAAAACAGTGGCACCAAGGGTTCTCATTTTTCAAAACTTCTATAGTGATATCCTGCTTCAGGACAGAAAGGAAGGTGCGGGTTTCCCCTCAGGGTCAAGACTCCCACAGCTGTCTGAAAACCAACTCCAAGCCCCATGGCCTGGAGATGGCTGAGGACACTTAGGAGACTCATCTCTGATGCTCCACCTCGAGTTCCCTGCGCCACCCAGGGGGAATGGAGACTGAACCTTCACACTGAGCTACAGCTCAGACAGTTCTTACTGTGAGACAGGATCTAGCTAGATCACTAACTTGCCCGGGCTGGGCTCAAACTTGGAACCTTCCTCCCTCCGCCTCCCAGAGTGCTGATTACAGACGGAAACCACTCCACCCAGCTAGAGATCCTCTTCGAAGGCGTTCAAAATACCCATACTGTCTCAGAGAGCAAATGGTTCCATAACTATTTAGAGAATTATAAATGACTCAGTCACAGGATGAACTCATGTCACATAAAAATGATCCCAACAGTAAGTCACACTAAGGCACAGAAAGGTCTGATAGTGTGTTAGCCAAGTGTCAGTTCTCTTCTGAAGGTGACCACCTGAGGTCGCTCATTTGGGAGTGAAGCTGGGATGAGGCTGGAGCAAAGGCCACACATCCCAAGGGGTCTCAGGTGCCCACTCCACACGGGAAAGTGGGTCTAAATCCAGGCTTAGTGTTTCTACTTTTTAAAGATATAGCTACTAAGATATTTTAAATTCAGAAAGATGAGCAGGGAGACGGGGCCCTAAAACAGGAAATGGGGGACTGAGCAGGCACAGAAACCAAGTCACAGAAATTCATCACTCCCAACAATTCCAGGTACTCCAGACTGTGTAGAAAACACCAGTCCTAGAAATGGCACTGCACAAAACCGAAAGCAAGATACCAGTAAGTTGCCCTAATTTCTGGGTTTAGCTGTGTTTACTGTGAGGCTCTTTAAATAAATGCCACTAGAAAAGGGTATGAAAAATACCTAGTGAGGGAAATCGAACAGTTTGCACCTGGAGTAAGCGTAAGGATGACTTGTAAAATTCCACTTTCCTTTATTTCTGTGATTTGTTATAAGGCTTTTGGTATCAAGAGGGTGGCAGAAAGAGATCAAAGACCACTGACTCCTTCGATCGCCTCAAAATTGAAGCAGCCAGGCAAACAGTGCTTAGTTTCTATCCTAAGCCTGAAAATCTTACAGTGACCCTAACCGAGGCGGGAGAATAGAGCTTGGGTGTCAGGACTACGCTTTTCATTAGAAGCCCAGGCAGAGGGGCTCACACCAGGCAGCCCGAGCAATCCCCACCTGCTGATGACCACTGGCCAAAGTGACCCCACACACCCCAATAGCCGGTTGTGTCAGTCCAGCTGCCATCTCAGGAGACAGGAACTGCAGAGGCTGGGCCACTCTCTGGACACCTGAGTACAAACTCCAACACCATGGCTGAGGGCGTCCCTGGTGACTGCGCACCCAGAGTCACAGGCTATGGAATGCATGGCTCATTGCCAGACTGAGTGACAGCAGTGACCTGAAGAGGGCAATGTGGGTGACACTTCACACAGAAACTCAGAAGGAGCTCTAATTGCTCGGCCGGAAGTATGGGCAGCCAAAGCAACCAGGCCAGGGCATGGCATGCTAGTGACACTCCCAGGGTGGACTCTGGGCTGCTGCAGAAGGGACTTGCCACTCTTAGGTTGGTGGAGGTCACCACTGCCAGTGCCTCCAGCACTCTGGGCACCAAACCTTAAAGCCTACAACCCAGTGGACGGTTATGTGCATTTGGTTAAGGCCTTGACTCGTTGGGTTTTAACAAACAGACTGCGTCCCTAAGAGCAGGTAGTTAAATCATCCCATATTTCTTTCTTTCTTTTTTTTTTGTGTGTCTTTTTATCGGTACCGGGGATCGAACTCATGACTGCCTGCTTGCAAGGCAGGTGCTTATGCCGCTGAGCTAAATCCCCAGCCCCATCACCCCATATTTCTGTGGCCAAGAGAATGTGCAAGGTTCTGCTCTGTTTCAGAGCTCCCCAACTCACACAGTCCACCCTTTCGGTGTACCCAGGTCAGGACAGCTCCGCTCACTGGAGTCTGTCCCAACTGGGAGACACCAGGAACAGCCCAAGGAAGTGGCGAGGCAACCCACGCAGCTGCCCCGGGGGCCCTGTGTCCTTACCTCTGCAACCGCTGCACAAGCTGGGCCACCATGGTGTCGGAGATGCCGGGGCAGGCCTCCTCCGCCAGGTAGATGGCGCCGCGCAGCTCCTCTATGGACCCCAGGTTTCCCCCACATGCCTGACTCTTCTCCTTCAGCTGAAAACACAGGAAGGACAGTGTGACCCACGTGCACAGACCCTGGGGTAAGACATGTGTCACCCCAGCACCATTCAGGTCCCAGAGACCCAGAGCCACCAGATCATTACCCCGGGTCCCCAGCAAGGAACTCTAGAGAGCAGCCAGTGACTCTTCCAGCCCATGACAGGGGACGTCGGCTCCACATGCACCCTTCCTCCATGCTGGCCCGGGACGGCGCGTCCTGGGGTTCCTGTCTCCACCACAGCCTTACTGTTACTCCAGGAAAGCCACTTCCAAGTCCACCAGAAACTGCTCTGGTGTGACACTGTTGTAGCAGAGTAGTCTGTGCTCAACTCGTGGTGTCAATGGCTTGGCTCTGGTTCCAGCAACCACCCCCGGGACCAGCACGCTGTCAGGATGCCCCTCACACAGTCCTTAGTTCTGGGACCTGCAGCACCCGTCCTTTGCTCCCACAGAAACCAGTGTCCTAGGCACCTCCTCCCTCAACCCCAGGTCAACCCCAGGCCTCTGTCCAGCACACACCCAACAGAGGAATGTGGCTCACATCAAGAGCCGGACAGCTTGTGATCCCACACCCTCCCAGGGACTCGGGTAGCAGCTGCAAAGGTGACAGCCACCAAGGGCCCCTCCAGATCCCCCTCCTCCACTTTGTCTCTGTCATCTGTCAGGACACTCTGCTTTGGCTCTGCAGCATGTTAGGACTTCGTGTCATCGTCAACAGACCAGTGTCGCTGTGAAAGGGACAGCTTCTCCCCCTGCTGGAAGGACCGGACAGGAACCCAGGATGCCTGGAATACTGTCTGGAATACTGTCTGTCACAGGCTGCAATACTGATGACCTTGAGGCTCTCTTCTACACCCCGTCACTCACCAGCACGGCACCTCCAGGCCAGAGAGCGATCTGTACTCACCACCCCAACCCACCCTTATCCACACCTGTGTCTCAAAGCAGGACAGGGGTAGGGGGGTAGAGGAGCCCTGGGAAGTCCCCTGGCTCAAGGGCAGTCGGACAATGAGTGACAGCAACACCTGTCTCCCACCACCCTCATGTACACACACGGGGTAATAAGCCTGGCAGTGAGCTCTGAGGACTGTCCTCTAAATCCTGCCTATTACACACTTCAAATGCCAGGTCACAATGTATTATCAGTAACACACACACACACACACACACACACACACACACACACACACACGCACGCACGGAAGGAAGGCAGCTTGTGAGTTCACGTGTTTACTTTGCAGACAACCGATACTTCTGCGTTAGGATTCATCTGAGGAAGTACCAGGTAATGATCTCAAGAGCTTCTTTTAAAGCCCAGTACATTACAGTTTTGGGCAAATGAAAAATACACGTGCCCTTTCCCCTAGTTCCCAACCAATCCTATTAACACGGCAGACGGCAGGTCACAGGACAGCAGCCCGAAGCTGGAAAGCCATGAGGCTCCAGGCAACACACTCAAGGCCACAAGGGTGTCTGGGGGAAAGCCACAGGTGCCCAGGAGGTGGCCGCAGCGAGAGCCAAGAGAGCAGCACAGCCTGCCCAGCCAGCCTAGTCAGCACCCCTCCATCCGAGACCAGCGAGTTCACCCCATGTGATGCCGCACCTCTCTGGTGCCAGCCACCAGGAGGAAGATAGGGGCCTGGGAGGGGACACTGTGACTTGGGCAGCCTGAGTGTGAGCCCCAAGCAAAGCTGCACAGAGAGGTGGGGATCACCTCACACAGATGTGGGGGTGACTTCTGTCAATCATCCTCAAGGCAGCCTAAGCCAGGAAAGGACCTGCAAGAACGCACACACACCAGGACACACCCACACACATACATAGCTGCCACAGGCCAGGCCCCTGCGGGATGACATGAACTCTGCAGGAGCTCACAGGTCATAGGAGACTATCATGGTACAAGGAAAACCCAGAGACCCTAGAAATCAGGGCCCCCTTAAAAAATGGAACTACTTTGAACATAACTAGGAATTTGCCTGAGCCCGAGATTGGGACGCACTCACCAGGTTTCAGAGGTACCCATACCCCTTAACTGAATGTCACCCTGGAAACACAGGGCTTACGGCTAGGTCACCAAGGCCATTGACACCATGGGCATCTTCGGGGAAGATGTGACAGAAAACAGCCACCAGGGGAGGCTGGAGTAGGCTGTCAGTGCCAGAGGCCAGCAGCCTGCTGTGGGCCCAGTGCAGACTCGCCAAGTGGTGCCTGCCAGCTGCTGTCCTGTCCCCCAGCTTTACTGACAATGTCCCACAGCAGCAGGGCCCTGCTCCCTTCTCTCCACCCCCTGCAGCTCTCCAGCAAACCTGCCTGGCATCTTACCTCTGCAAACAGGGGAGAGATAATTGTCGATAAACACTGAGAGAAAGGCCTCTTTGGGATGTCTTTCATCTGGGGGAGGAAAAGGAAGGTCATCAGAAACAGGGACTGCCACAGCGGCCTTGACCCACAGGGTTCCCAAGTGGTTCACAGACTGATGCTGAGGACATATCCTGCTTGAGGGCCCCTGGCTTCCACAAGCGACAAGGTTTCATCTGCAATAACCAATGAAACCCACCTGGCAGGAACCCAGTGCCTGGATCCCATGCAGGAAGGGAGGGGTCGGCATACCAGCTGCTCCATTGCACTGTGTGGAGGGGTTCTGCTGGCTGGACCCTGGCATGTGTGAGGCTCCGGCCTCAATTCTCAACACCCACCCCACCCCCTAAATAAGTAAAACTATAGCTTTTGTAATTTTGGTTTTTTGGTGGTGGTGGTGGTACTAGGGTTTGAACTTGGGGCCTTTGTACTAACCTACATTCCTAGCCTTTCCTTCCTTTCTCTCTTGGAGACAAAGTCTCACCATGTCAATACTTTGAGCAACTCAAGGTTGGGCCCAATCTTGAGATCTTCCTGCTTCAGCATCCCAGAGTGCTAGGATTACGTGTGTGCACTGTCATGCCCAGTGGCTTTTTCATAAATTTAAATAGCCATGAAATTAACTAATCCAAATAAAGTGAAGTGATATACATGAAGTACCAAAAGCAGTGCATTCATTTATACAGTCCTTAAATAAAGCTCTGAAGTGACAGCATGGTATCCACACAACCCTCACATGCAAACAGACAAGGTCCCCCAAAGGTAGCCACAGTCATTGCATACGTGAAACTGTGCCCCAAGGAGCAATTGTCATTGGCTAAAGGTTACAGGTCCTGCTGGGTGTGGCCTCAGGGGAGAGGGTACCAAACTCTCCGGTCTGAACCCTCAGGTAATCAGAGAACTGAACACCAGCCTATTACCCCCAAGGGCAAACCCCCCAACCTGGGCTGCCTGTGGGGCAGGGACTCAAACCTGCCAGTGCGCCGAGACCGTACCTTACTTCTTTCCAACTCCGAGGGCTGGAGAGCTCCGTTCTCGAGATTCTTGGGGTCCTTCTCTCGGATGGTGAAGATCCAGTCCCCAGCGTCGTTGCCTCCAGATGCCTGGCCATCTGTCTCCCTGGACAGACATCGCAGCCACTCGGTCAGTGACATGGCTGCTTCTGATCCCTGGCTCCCTCCTCTCATCCCCACGCAGGGCCCCAGCTTTGCCCATGGGGACCCGACTGTGGGTCCTGGAGCTTCCAGCTGCACCTTGGAGTGCAGCGCCCCAGCCTCTGCCTGCCCGAGGAGGGAGCTGCTCAACCCCCGTCTGTCAGCTGCTCCCCAGGGCCTCAGTTTCTCTCCCCGGTGCCTCTTCCAGCCAAAGCTGGAGCTCTCTTGCTCCCTGCTCCCCGTCCTCCCCTCCTGCCACACCCACCTCCCCACTCTGCTCCTGTCCATCTGCCTTCCACCTCCAGCTGTCACCAGCCCTTGTCCCCCACACAACCTGGTTTAAGAGGCGCCTGCTCAATCCTGGGCCTGTGCTGAGCTCCTCAGTCCCCATGTCCCCTCCCACCCATCAGCTGTGCTTGTCCCACCTGCATGGCCTCCCTGGCTGTCCCCAGAGCACAAGGAAGACCCGGCCACGTGGATGGCAGGGAAGCTCCCAGCCACGGAAGACTCTCTAACAGCCACATGGAATGCAGCGCAGGTATCACTGTGGCCTTGAGCATCTAAACACAAACAAAAAACTTCGCCCTACGCCGCTGAGAACCGTGGGACTCACGTGTCCGAGTCCTCGGAGCTAGAGTCGTCATGGCTCTGCTCCGCCTTCCACCTCTTGAACCTGTCGATGAGCTCGGTCAGGTACGACGTCTTCTTCGCATTGCGAATGATAAACTTGTGCTTCAGCAACTCCTTCGCTGTGGGTCTCTGCAGAGGGGGAGGCAGAGGTCACTCACCCCACCCAGGAGGAGGTGCCTCCCTCAAAACCCCACAGCAGTGCTTCCCAGAGGTCAGGGCCCTGCTTCGGTCCCAGGCTCACTGAAGGACAAGTCACTGTACTCCCGCCTGGGACGCTGGACAGAGCTGGGGGAGGGGGTGACACTTGTTTCCTCGCCAGGAAGCATCAGTCAAAGCAAGAGGCCCCACCACACACCCGTGAGGGACCCGGAGGGATGCCTAGGAGAGCCACCTCTGGGCCTCCAAGGCAGACGGGAGAAGACAAGCATGTCCTCTTCTCAGGAGACTGTCTGTCTATGCCCTGGCTAACAACCCGAGACAACGCAATGAGCATGCTCATCTGCACTCCTCTGACAGAAACAGGGAGAAACCCCCAGGGACTCTCGAGTGGGAGAACACCCCACACCCACTCCCTATCACTAGCACTCCTCGCCTGTCCCCATTCTTGTGAATGAGCTGGGCACTTCACCCCCACATAGGGAGAGCCTGGCGGAGGGGCTCACTCTGAGCTCAGGACACCCTGAGCTCAGCCAAGGGCTTGGCCCTCGAGGGCAGCCAACATGGGCCACTGCAGCAGCCAGACTGCCCAGGAAATACAGCATGGCCCGACCTGGAACTGCCAGCAGGTCACACTGCATTCCTGCTCACCTGAGGAAGAAGAGGCAGCAAGTTCCTCAAGTGCATGTGTGTGTAAATGGGGTCCCCCGGGGTGAGCATCCCGCCCCTGTCCCTAGGGGGCTGCTCTCCCCAGCTCCACTCTGTTGTTCTCCAAAGCCTGGCCAAGGTGGTGGGGAAGGTGTGTCCTGAGGAATGAGCCAGTTCTGGAAATGAGCTTTAAACGGATGGTGCGCAGGCACACGGATGTGTCCCCCTGGTGCTAGAGACATCGCTGTGCAAGGCAGAGCACTGGCGGGGAGCAGAACCACCGCCTGGTGCAGGGAGCCCATGTGTGGAAAATGCCCTACTCCGCACCTCACACCCTTGCCAGAACCGGCAGCCCTGTAGGGCCACTAAGCTCTTTAAAAAGTCATCGCCCTGAGAAACAGAGTTAAAGGTTGAGACAGGGCAAGGGTCAGCCTGGTCTTCAGCTAACTGCCCTAAAACTCGGGCACAAAACAAGGACAGGTCGTGTGGTGCTACATCCAACACCAAAATAGACGTCGTTCAGAGAATGCCCTAATTTGGGGAGAAAAATGAGGTAAAGCTATGGGGTCACCCAGGATCTGCCACCGTGAATAAACCATGCAGTGGAGGGTGGGGAGAGGTGGGGCCGCCCTGGTGCCTAGTGCACATCTGCCTCCCAGAAACAACATGGCTACCATGGCCCCCGCCACTATGACCCATTCTGAGTTCACAGCCTGAGCTCACGCACAGTGGAAACAGAGGATCCCCATGGTATTAAGGAACTCTTCATGAAGTGAGAGAAATCTAAGAGAAAATAAGTAGCTTTTTTATCCTTGAAAATTAAATGAAGACAAAAGCATCTTTGTAGGTCGAAGAATTCAAACTCATTCAGAGAAAAAAAAAAGAGACCATGAAAGCAGCTGAATGGATCCCAAAGGGGCACCCCAGAAACCCAGCCACACCCCAAGAGGAGTATAGACTCACAAAGCTTGGCTCCTTATTCAAACAGGCCTCCACGAACTCCTTGAGGGGCTTGCTGTAGCTGCCCTCCAGCGTTGGGGGGTTGTTCTTTGGAATGAGGAATAGAACCTTCATGGGATGCAGCTCAGAATGGGGCGGCTCCCCACGTGCCAGCTCTATGGCCGTGATGCCCAGGGACCAGATGTCTGCCTGCAATGACAAGGCACCATTACTCATTCAATCAACACACTTCAAAAAAAAAAAAAAAACGTATGCCTCTCAGGGCACCTCTAAGCTTTCAGGAAAGACCATCACTCACTGATAGTAAGAAACAAAGCCTTGCTACAATTTCTAAATAGGTGGCAACTCTGCTGAACATGGTGCACTCTACCCCGACAAGGGCCTTGGGACCGCTCTACAGCAGGCGCTGTTGCCGCACCAGGGAAGGGCTGGGAAGGCCTGGAGACAGGGGCAGGCGTGACAGAAAGGAGCAAGGAACAGCTGGGGCGAGGAGGTGATTTTGGAGTCACCACTCGCCCCACAAAAAGCTTAGCACCAATCACAGCTGTGGAGTTGGGCGGCACCTTGGTCTCCAAGACCTGGGCTCAGACGTGGCCTCCACAGTCAATGTCCTGTGATGCCAGACACAGCAGCTGGCCTCCACCTCCTTTCCTCATCTGTGGGGCAGGGGAGGCTGGCTGCGCCAGGAACCTGGTACAGTGCCTGGAACCTGAGAGGCACCAGTGTTGAGAACCTTTAAACATACAGATGATCAATTCAGCAACTGGGAACGCTGAGCCACACGGCTAAGTTTACTTGTTGCTGTGACACACTGTAAAATAAATCAGGCAACATGATGTCCTTCTACTATACCAGCATCAGGACTGTTTGCCACACACTGACACCTAAAATTACACAGGCTTGACTTTCAGTGGCTCAATGTGACAGCAAAGCAAAAGCAATACACATTCGAGAAAAGCCAAGTTTCAAATTTTGGATTTGGATCTTCTTCCAGGAAATCTACGTGGAGTACAACTGTTTCTCATGGTGCCGGCAGGGGCAGCCAGAACGGTCCAGCAAGTGCCCGATGGGAAAGGGAGGCAAGCGGGCTGGTGCAGAGGGCAGGCATTTTCAACTCAGCGTCTTTTCAGTTCACTGAGGAGCATTTATAATTCCTTAATATCACATAATAACTACATTTTCTTGACTTCTGAAAAAACTGTTTTCCACAGTTGATTCATTGAAATCAGGATCCAAACAAGGTTCACACATGCCAAACGATCACCGCAACAGTCCCGCTTAATCTGCCCAGCACCACCAACAACCTGAACACAGAGGCGGCCAGCTCAGCATGGGGTTTTCGGCTGACAGCACTCGATCTGATTCCCCACAGCCTGCACCTCCTGACCAAGGTCCTCCAGGTTTCTCCTCCAGATTCCAAAGGGTGGGGAGGCTGGGTTAGAGTCACAGGTGGCAGGAGCCAGTGGCTCCCCACGGGGCACCGGGTGTCAACTGCCCTGACACACTGGCCAAGACTGAGCCAGCAGTGAGACCAATGAGCAGGTAACGCTGGGTGATTTTAAAGCACTGAAGCCAACAGCTAAGGACGCATTGTCAATGCCTAGAGAATAGGGCAAACACTGAGAAATCAAAGAACAAAACAGGCTGATAAGACAACCCCGGGAACTGGGGCGGAGAGCAGGTGTTGGCCTGTGTCAGCGTCGTAGCGCAGCCCACAGTGACTCAGGAACTTCAGCTAATGCTCGGGTCTCTCTCCCTCGCCATCCTGCAACAAAGGAGAGGGCTGAGTGCCCTGACTTGGGTACTTTTGGACCCTTAACGGAGCGGCAGCACTCGCTGTCCACGTTCTGCCGCCCCTAAGTGGCTTCTGCCCCAGTGCAGCAGTCCAGGGGCTGGGACCTGCCGCATCCACCACTTCCTTCCTTTCTCCACCCAGAAGGAAACGGCCGCCAGCAAGTCTCGTTCCCCACTGTGGGTACTAAACTCTTCCCCTAGGGGGATCGGCCTGAAAGATCAAGTGTTAGGCGTTCAGAGGCCAGTTTTCCTTCTCCCTGTGATATGAAGTGCTTCGTGTGCCTTATGTGCCGACTACATTAGAGCTCAGCAGAAACAGGATTTAGCCCAGACTCCTTCTGCCCTGGGAAGGGCCTGGAGCCACGGTGGTGGTGGCAAGGACGAGCAGCAGTGGTCAAGCAGGAGGACGATAAGCTGCAGGGGACAGAAGCGACTGTGGTTCTTTGCACACAGGTGACCTCAGGAGTCTGTGTGACTCCACCTCCGTCTGCCTGTGCCAGCTTCCTCGTACCAGCACGCTGCAGCTGCTGCTGCTGGCAAACAGGCTGCCTCTGGGCTGCAGAGACACGGGCCATCTGTCCATGTGGTCTCTGACAAGGCCTCCAGCCCTCCCAGAATCCCACAACCGCTCCTCACACACCTAACCAGGCGGCCTGATGGAGGAGGATTTCTGCTTCAGCCAGGGCTGAGCATGCACTGGCTTCCCAGAGGCTGAGGACTCTGCTTCCAGGTGGAGAGCTGGGCAGTAAGCATGTGGGAGAAAGTCTGCAGGGAACGAGACTGCTTGGCACATGGGAGCCCAAGGAATCGCCCTCCTGACTTTGCCCAGACCCAGCCCGGGCCCCAGTGTTCCATTTCAGTCAGCTTCCCAAGGAGGGTGGCCAGGACAGCACCATGAAGAGAAACCACTGCCAATGTCCGGGCGGCCCAGGTGGGATCTGAGTGTTACCCGGCTCCCCAGGAGGCCTCAAACCAGCCAGGCAGCAAACTATGGCTCCTGCTGCGCTGTTCTCCACCCTCCTGCTTCTGGCTTGGTTGGAGCAGATGGGGTCCTATGCGGTCTCCCTGCACCTTCAGACATCTGACTCCCTCCCACCTCCAAGTGGATGCCTAGAAACCTGGACTGCTGGGCAAATAAATGCCAAGTGGTCCTAGCACTCTGGGAGGCTGAGGCCGGACAATCGCAAGTTCAACCCTAGCCTGGGTAACCTAACAACTTAATAAAAAAGGCTGGGAGTGTACCTCAGTGTGAAGGCCCTAGGTTCAGCCCCTAATACATGCACGTGCACACAAACACACAAGCATGCATGCATGCACACACACATACATGAGTGGGGGGTGCCAAGCAATCTGATAAATGACTCAAAAGCGAAACTACCCCAACTTGTTAAAACCCATTAATCCTACTTGTAGGAACATGGTCTCTGTCTCATCAGATATCAGATCTGGAGGATGGTAAGGGTCCCCCAAAATATTCAACAACAGTATTACTTGTATTCAACATCAGAAAAACAAACTGCATTGGCCCATCAACTTAGTAAAACAGCACCTACCCAGAACGTGGCACTGGTTTATCTATTACTGCATTTCGGGAATATGGCACCCAGTTTGGAATGTGTGCCTGCATATTAAATTCAGAGGTATGTGGAGAAAGGATGGTCTTCTTCCATAGCAAGGAAAACTGACGTCTGAGGGGATCCATTTTTTTTGCCATTTGGGTAAATATATGAAATTAGGCACCAAGACACTCCCAAATTGGGTGCAGCGGCATACAACTGTTATCCCAACACTCAAGAGGCTGAGGCAGGAAGATCATTGCAAGTTCAAGGCCAACCTGGGCTACAAAGCCAGCCTGAACTGCATAGTGAGACCCCGTCTCAGAAAGACCAAAAAAAAAAAAAAAGTGCCGAGAGAACACAGACAGGGGTTTTCAATACACACCCATGTCACCAGCTGCAGAGGCCAGCGGCCTGACAAGCAAGTGTTAGCCGAGAGCAGCTCTCCCCTCACAGGAACACTTCTAGGAAGCAAGGGCCAGAGACCTCGTGGAATCGCTGCTCGTGACTGGAGGACTCCTCAATGGGAACAGGGAAAGCGGAATTGTACACAGCAGCACCCTACACCCTCATAACATCAAGTGAAACAAAGCAAACCGGCTACCGGTCCAGAGACAGGACGCAATTTAAGTGACGTCTTACAGTTATGCATAGGAAACAATTCTAAAAGGAACCTTAATCAACTCTGTGTAGCCAAGAGAAAAAAAGCCACGCACAACTCCAAGTTACTCATAACTGAAATAGTCAGGACAAAAATGGATTCAAGACAGCTACTGTGTGCTCAGATGCAATGGTTAGGAACGGATTTCTCTGCGGGATCTAGACACAGAGAAGACATGTATGGGTACTTAATGGTAATCAAAGCCTAACCTGAAATAGCCCTGCATTAAACCTGCTGAAATAAAGCCCAGAGTCACTCAGGCCCTGGCCCACATCCTTGTTCCCTACAGAGCTCCTTCATCCTGGCCAGGGCAGCAGGGTGGCGGTGGACTCAGCGTGGGAGTTCAAGGGGTGGCCCGGTCCCGCTCCCAGGAGGCAGGCGGACCAGCTGCAGGTGCCGTTGACTGGTGACCCTGCCAACAGACCAGCTTGGCGCTGCTGCTTTTCCCACTGACACCTCACCTTGGGGTGCCTGCAAGTGGTAATTTCAGAGACAACTGGGCATGGGAATTTGCCTGGCCTGGGCTTGGCAGCAATCTACAGATGGTTTTCCATTCCCCATTTCTTTTTTCAGTATTTTCCAGATCATCACTGAAGAGTGCACACATACTGCTTCAGAAGCCAAAACCAGGGAAAGTCATTTACACGAGACTGCAGCACCTGGCTCTTGCATCTCCAGTTCAGGGCAGGCCAGTCGGCCAGGGTCTCTCTGGCACTGCCCACCACACAGCACTACATCTGCTCACCTGGCAAATGCCCCCTCTTCCGCACACACCCCTCAAACCACTGGGCTCAGACTGAGAGCTGAGATGAACATGAGAAGCTGTGCGTGTGCCAACACTTTCAGAGCCACTGGGCAGCCCAGACAGATGACAGCAGATCACTGACACTGGCTCAGCTCATCACAGCAGGCAAAGCTGTTGCGGCTTCAGGAAGGGAAGGTGCTGCTCCCTCCAGCTTAGGGCAGGGAAGAGGCTGCCATGGTAAGGCAGGTGTATCCTTCCTTCACCGGCTGGTCCTGCCTTCAAGGTTCAGTGTGGGCACAAAGAGAAAGCTGTGTGGTGCACGTTCTTGAACTATGGGCCAGGTGGGGAAGATGCCTGTGAGCACACTGTAGGATGCAAAAAAGGGGTGCTGGGAAGAAGCTGGGGACACTTGAGCACCAGGAGACTACAGCAGCCACACCTCCAGAGGCACCTCAGCCCCGAGGACAGCCACAAAGCAAGCTTGGAGAAGCATGCACTGTCAGGCCATGCTCCAGACCAGACAAGAGCTGCTGGCCCAGAGCCATATCCCATAGGGGTGCAGGCAAGAGACTTCTCCCAAAGGCCCCAACCCTGAAAACCTTAAAACTAAGGCACCCAAATCACCCTAAGTGGGACCAGCCACGCCTCCCCAGCCAGCAAACCTCCAAGTTCATTTCCATATATAATTCCCTTAAAGGTCACTCGCATGATCCAAGCAAACAGCTGCTTTCTGACAAATCATAGTAAAAGAGAGTAAAAGGCTGAAAAACAGGGGGGCACATCTTCTTACACTACTTTCTCTCCAAACAAGTGTGCATTCCAGCAGGTGTAAGTCAGTCCCTGAGGCCATCCCCAGGCTGCGGAAGAGAGAGAGCTCCAGGAAAGAGGTTCGCACATCTTTCCAATGCAGAATCACATAAATAACCACAGATGCTTTAAACCAGAATGAAAGCAGGGAAGAGCCAAGAAGAAACTCCAAAGTATGAGTGATGGGCAGAACTGGAAAAGTACAAACTGAACCCACGTCCGTGTGGCATGGCCCACCAGCTACTTCACTATGGAACATGAGAAGAGAACACTCAGGGTAACTGGATGAATTTAGTTAGGAACCAGATTCCAGTCTCTGCCATACTATAATTTAGACAGATAAACGCAGATAAATGGAGGGAAAAGGGACTGAACCCATTCCTGCTAAGTCCTTCAATCCCTGCAAAGGTGAGCCACAGCATGGAAGTAGCCCCCCGCCCCGGAGCAAAAGCACCCCCACAACACTTACAAGTCTCAGCCCTGGCAGTACAGCTGGCTTGGGGTGGGGGACGCCCTTTAGCCCCCAAGCCCGTTAGATTCTCACAGAGGTCACAGCCATCACTATTTAATAGCCAGACAGCTGGTCTGCCTCTCTCAAGCCAGAACCAGAGACACTGACACTTAAGCCATAGCAATGGCTCAGGACAGTGACCTCAAGGCCCTAGGGGAAATTTCCTCACGCTCCCTGGACTGTTTCAGGAGATGGGAATTTTCCTGCATACTGAGAAAAGGGTCCCATTTAAAAAGCTGACAGAGTATTATGCTGGTAAATCCTTGTGCATCTGTTTGCTTGGAAAGCTGTGGCTCACCAGAACCAACTCTCTGTGGAGGAAAAGCAGACCAGAAAATGGAAAGTTAAATCGGAGAAGCAGGAGGCAGAGTCCCAGGGATTCTTGGTCTACGCTACCAGGTTTAATATAAAGCTAAAGGGCAACAGGGAAAAGAACTGACAAGTAAAGGCAATCGGGAGAAAGACGATGCTGTGCCTCGTGTTGATGTGGAGAGCCCAAGAGCGAGGATCCTAATGGAGAACAAAACAACATGGCAGGAAGAATCCGTAGCAATCACCGAAAGCACATTCACACCCACCCTGCTGCAGTCTCTCTGTGGCTCCTCATCTGTGCCCTTCGACTGCCGCCCAGCCCCGCCATTCATCCACTGCGCTGAGGTCTCTCCCTCCTGTGCACTGCAGGGCCCACTTCCTCAGCCTCTGCTGCTTGCCACCAGATGCCTGTGCTGCCACCATGGCCCTCCTGTCCCTGCACACTCCTTCTGTCCCCATGGCACCAGACAGACACTAAGCTAAAACCACAGTCTCTGTGGCTGCATCAACGAAGGGAGGACACAGCAGGTAACAACAGAAAGGTCAGAGAATTACCTCCAGGACCTGCCTGAAGGTGCCACAAGGGGCTGCAGGACGGGTGTGGTGTGCTGGCTCTTACCTTCGAGTCGTAGGCTGACTGTTTGATGACCTCAGGTGCCATCCAGAAAGGGGTGCCCACGAAGGTGTTCCTCTTTATCTGGGTATCTGTCAGCTGGCCGGCCACTCCGAAGTCAGCCAGCTTCACTTCTCCATGTTCAGACAGCAGAACGTTGGCCGCTGAGAAGGAAAGTCACACGGCCGACGTCAGTCACCACGATGCATGGCATCAAGCACCAGAGGGGCGAGTGCATGTGTCCTCTCCCAGCCATCTTGCTGCCCTAGAGGCACAGGCCACAGCCCCTCCACTCCTTCAGCCCAGCCCTAGAGGGTGGACGGTGCAGGACAACTTCCCTTGGACTAAAGCTTAGCTCTGCCACCGCCAGGATTTTAACGGAATGAAAACAGTGCAGTGTTCTTACCTTTAATATCTCTGTGGATCTTCTTCTCCGAGTGCAGGTAATCGAGTCCCTTCAGTATCTCTCTTAATATGGTGGCAATCTGAGTTTCGTCTAAAGGGCCAGGTTCTAACTAACAAAGACAACCACAAGAGAGTGTCACAACTCTGAAATGCTGACCTTACACACAATGGAGACAAGACAGTATCCTCACTACATGCACAAGAATAGATAAAAATTTTAAAGCATATTTTTACTTAAAGCTGGCATTTTGCTTACATAATTAAAATCTATTAAAGCACCCTTTAAAATCCTTTAAAATAATAGAACCAGAGGAAAAGACTTTGCAGAATGAAGCAAGATCAGCTCCAATTCAGTGGTGCCAAGAGGACGCCCTGGTCACTACCCCTACAGCCTGCAAGCTGGCCTGTGAGCATCACCGTCTGGCCCTGGGGAAGGTGGGGCGCAGGCATGGTCCCGCAGTCTAGGAAACAGACTCCAGAAACTCGAGGTGCGCACAGATGCCTGTGCTGCCCTCATCTGCTTGGCTACCTTGCCGTAAGGCTCAACCTTGTAACTCAAAATTCAAGTCCTTGGAAAGAGAAGGCCTAAGAGCCTATCCATTCCTGAGGTTACTACTGCACCCGAATTTTTAAATCTCTATTTTAAGGCTCCTCAACTTCAAGGGATGTAGCTGAAAGAGTTAAACTCCTAACACTGGGAAAGTACAAAAGCTGCTTGTTCCTACTGAGGTAGTAATTGCCTCTGGAAATCTTTGTTCTGTGAATCTCAGAGTTGTCACTATTGACTCCTTGAATAGCCACTCTTTTAAAAGATCTAAGGAAGGAATGTCAGATATGCATACCGCATTCAGAAGAAAGAATCCGAGAGCTGAAGGACCGTCCAGGTCAGCCTGCCCAGCATCACTTGCAGACAGGGGATTCAATCACAATTCACAGAGACGGACTCTAGTTGCACGGCTACCCGACACACCGTAAAGGCTCCATAAAGGAGAGGGCCAACTGTCTAAAGAAGGTTTTCCAACTTGACAGTGAAGCCACCGGACTCCACACTCACCCACCTTTGCCAACCAAAGGGACAGTTGTCTCCACGGGGGCCATTACATTTGCTTTACGCCAAATAGAATGAAAACTAAGATGCTCCTCGAGTGTCTCTTCCTTTGACTGTCTTGTGGGACATCCCGAAGGGAACAGCAGGCCCAGCAAGGGACCTGTGAGACTCCCCAGTCACCTACACTGCTGCCGTCTCATGCCTGGCATTGCTCAAGAGAATCCCACTAGATCAGGCTTCTCCCTGCCACCTCCCCACCATGAAAAGGAGAGGGAGCCGACAGCTTTGGTCAGCCGCCACATCATGTGCTTGAGAAGTCAAAGGCCTGTGTGCCAGCCTGCAGAGAATCACCACAAATGCTGCCCACGGTGCCGTCCCGGCACCAGGACTTTGTTCCGCACACCCTAATTCTTCCCAGTTATTTGACCAAGAGTCGCGTTTCAAACACATAGAAACCACTGTCCCAAAGACCAGAGTGTGGAATGCGTGGTCTCCTCGTAAGTCTGCTTTCTTCACGGTTGTATCTTCAGTGTTCACAGAACTCAGAAGCTTTCATTTCACAAGAAAGATGAGCTTCTCTCATGGCCTGAGGGACGAGATGCTGGGATGCTGGCTCCTGTCCTCAATGTCACACCGCTGAGGAAACCCAGTGATTGCAGCAACGTGACCAACTGGACTTGGCCAGCCTGGGCTTCCCCCGCACGAAGAACTGCTGCCATCCAGTCCTCAGACAGGTGTGGGAGCAGTGAAAGGAGCAGAGGAAAGCAAACTGCAAACCCCTAGATGAGTAAGAGTAGTGCCTTGCGCTGCACCCCAACCACCCACCACCGGAAGTGAACCTAAGGATTTCATTGGGATAAAATCATCAAGGTGCCCATGAGGGCCCATTTTGGACACCAACTTGACTGGGCTAAGGGGTGCCTGGATGGCTGGAAAAGCCCTTATTCTGGGTGTGATTGGGAGGGTGGTTCTAGAATATACCTACATCTGAATCAGAGGACTAAGGAAAACCACCCAGGGTGGGTGGGCCACATCCATACTGCTGAGGGCCCAAACAGAACGAAAAGCAGAAAACAGGCAAATTTTCACTCTGTCTTCTAAGCTGGGACATGCTTCTCCTGTCCTCAGCTATCAGAACTCCGCGTACTCCAGTGTTTGCACCTGGACTGAGCCGTGCGACACACTTCCCTGGTTCTCAGCTCACAGACCATCCATGGTGGGCCTGTGCAGGCTCCATAATCACATAAGCAATTTTGTTAATAAATCCCCTCTCATCCACAGATCCTGTTGGTTTAGTCTCTCCGGAGAACCTAACGTAGCTATCAAATTCGCTGTGAAAGGTATTCTAGCGTTGGTCAGGCTAGGGTGAGCTGAGTTCTCAGAGTCTCATGCAAGCCTTCCCCGTGGTTACAACCGCGAGCCAGGAGAAACATGGTGCACTCAACCACTAAGATTGTGAGCATTTCAAGAATTTGTAACACGAAAAAATGCGGATTACATCTCACCCATGGGTGACTGCTAGTTCATTCCTTCCCCCACGTCTCTCTCTTCTTCTCCCTCTGCTGAGGGCCACCAGCTGGGCACACCACCACCCTGCTGGAGACCACAGCCCCAGGCCCTGCAGTGGCAACGGTGTGCAACATGAGCACAAATCCCTTTTGGTCTCAGCGCTGAATGCTGGCAGCTGGAGAGGGCGAAGGCTGCACACTGTGAGGAGCCACAGGTGACCCAATGTGTGGGAGGGAACTCCTCTTCTGTCTTGTTTTGGAGCTATGATGACAGTGGCTTGGACTAAACCTTACTTGAATGTACCACCTTGGTTTTTTGTTTTTTCTTTCCCCAAAATTGTGTTGTGTATCCATTTTTAGCTTGTCAAACATCTCTGCCTGATCGATTAATCAGATTTATATAGTGAAGTCCCTTCTAGATGAGATTTTAACTCTGTCCCTTAAGAGTCTCTGGCAACACTGACAGACCTATTTAATCACATAAAACCTCTTGCTAATCCTCACTCGACTCTCCTAATGCCCTCCACCTGCCTGTTCCTCCTTGAACACCTTCTAACACATGTGACAAGTGACACACTTGGCCATGCAACACCAAAACAGAAAGATGCAAGACCTTCCCAGAGCTCAGGCAAGGCCAGCCCTGCAGCAGGCACACAGTGAGTATTTTTTGATTAAAATGATTTCACTCACTGGACTACCAACTCTTCTCACACGGGAAGTTAGGGTGACTTGAATTGTGTGCTATGAATTATATTCTCCTAGGCCTGGTATTCTGCAGGCAGCTACGACCCGAGAGCCCAATGACACAAGTGGCTACCAAAATGTATTCTGAAGAACTCAGGGTTTCTTCATAGTAGCCTTGGGGATACTACCAACATTCTATTTACTATTTAACTTTCTTTCTTTCAATTAAAACACACCCCACACACAGATTGAGCACATCCAGGTGTGTGTATTCAAAATATATTTATGGCTCTGAATAACTGAACTATACTGTCTCTTTGCCCTTCACCGTAGATCCTAAATTTGCATTGTTTTTAAAAGTCAAAAAGCATGCAGCACCAGGAAAAGAAGAGAGGGCTCACAGGATACACAGCCTCCACCTGCCCTGATTACCTTCAGTCAGCTAAAGAGACACTCATGTCCTGGCCAAGACACCTCAAGACATCATGCCCTGATGACACCTGAAGAATCCGCTCACACACATCTGGGTTAACACTAAACAGGTGAATAAAGGATTTCCATTGCAACTGCACCTGCCTGTCTGTGAAAGGCCCAAGGACTATTTGCACACCATGTACAAGAAAGACACCAGGACTCACCACCTGGTTCAGAGGCTCACTCATCTTTACCCTGGGGTAAAATCACTTTTGTTGTATAGGGGCACCCTGTATGTCTTTAAAATCAGGGCGTCACATTTTCAGTACTCAGTATGACACCTGCTGCTAACACTCACCAGGGCTCCATGGTATGGCTACAAGAAAGACAAGAAGTGACCCATGACAATTCCCTGCCTACCTCCAAAGCACCCATGGTTCCCTTTAGAAAATACCCTGGCAATTCTCTGCCCCACATCCCGACCTGGAGCCTGCCTCCACTGAACCTTTGTGCTAGAACCCAGGGAAAGCTTCCCAGATCCACTCTCGGACATGCTCAAAGGATTCTGGGTGGAAGAGGGAGGCCACCTTCCTGTCCCAGCTGAGACCTGATGGAAGGAAGCCCTGGAAGGTCTCACAGCACAAGAGCGGAAGGGCACTGTGTGTGTTACATGGTGCACTGGAATCCATACAAATACACGGAACATGTGCTGCAGGGCAAGGACAGGATGGGCTGGCAGGGACAGCTGCAAGTCTCTGAGCAGACTGCAACCTTAGGGAACTGTCACCTGCGCAGGGGACTGGGAGGGCAGGCTCCCTGAATAAGCTACACAGTCATCTTTCCCCTCCAGGCCCTCAACAGGGGCTCCTACAAAGAAAGGCACATATTAACGATGTGCCTGTTAACAGAGATAAGTAAGACTAGTTAGAATTTTTCAAAGATATAACCCCGAAATACATTTAGCTACACTACATTACACTTGTATGCCTGATGATATTCTGGTTTCTAGGATCTTTTATAAATTTAGGACTCTTTTGAAACAATCATAATAGTTCTCAAAATTCAAAAAAGAATGCCCATATCCCATTATTCAAGTGTGTCCTCTACTTGTAAGCTTTGGGGATTGGGATGGCGGACAGAGGAGGAGACAAGGCAGGACCGAGGAGGAGGAGGGGGCCGCCACAGTCTCAGCAAGCAGTTCCAGGCCTGCTTTCGAGTTGGCACACCTACTCTGGGTGGCTTCTTTCCTCTCCCATTAACCTAGAAGGACCAGGCAGACCCACAAAGGAACGCCTGTTTCTCACCACCATGGAGACTGACAAGAGCAGCTGGTGACTGGCTTGGGACTCACAAACCGTATGGGACTTCAAAGTAAGAACTGTGTGCCCCCCTCTAAGAGCAATGTCCAAAACTACACTGATACCAGGTCAAATAAATCAGTACTACAGCACTAACCATGAATACACACTGAAGCACTCTGAAACTAGAATTGCTGCTCTAAGGGTCTTGATGCCAGGGAAAGAAAAACTCTACGAACAACTTCACATGTACAAATTACACTCACTTAAAATAATAGTGCATCTAATTACACAAAAGGAGGTAATTTTCTACATTCCTGTGTTTCCCAAAAGACTGAAGAAATGAAAAGCTTCTTGTGTAATGTGTGTATTTATGGAAAGAAATCAGAGAGACCCAAAAAAAAAAAAAAAAAAGGTATCAGTTTGGGGTTTTCTTCCCATTTTAATATCATTTATACTGTACTAGATTTTTATTGAAATATTCTTTTTTAACCCTTTGACTCTTTGTGTATGTAATTTTCTAAACCAAGAAACACTGTCTTTCTGGAGATACCCATAGTGTATAGTTTGTGTCTACCTTCTCCATCCAAAGACACTGTAGCCTCATGGGGACAGGCTTTTCAGGGGTGGTGGACCTAGAGTCTGTGGCTGATTCATGGTCCAGTGCTGGGATTAAGATGTGAGCACGACCCCACCCTTAGATGCCTCAGAGCTCATCTAAAATCTGGTCTTTACAGTGGGGTTGAGGATGAATGACTCGATTTTACTGCTACTGCAGACGGAACAAGTTGGCAAATGCTGAACTATGGTATATCTTATTATTATTATTATTATTATATTTTCTGCACGTCCTGTGTTTCAAAGACAACATGTTTACGGGTGCTGCTTATTTGTAAGCTATTGGAAGCCCAGCTTGAAGCCCTGTTTCACACGACAACCCAAGCACCCCCAGCTTCTGCCACCTTCTGTGAAGCCTGGCACCTGGACAGGCTCCCAGGTGGGGTCAGAGGAGGAGACACCACCTGGACTGGGCCTGAATCCCCAATACAACATGCCCACTGGCAAGAGGCAGGCATGGGTGCCTGTCCAACTGCTTGCCTGACTCCTGTTCCAAACCAAACCTCAATCGTCACACCTGTGTCTTACTTGGGAGATAAAAATGTGACACACTTATTTCGGGTGCTAAGTTGCCATCTGAAACATGAAGTTGTGATGTCATCAGCTCTACAAAAGTTAAAAATGATTCTGGAAAAGTAACCAACTGTACTTAGGTGAGTTCAGGGCGAAACCCCTCATTGCTTCTATGACTGAATTCATTGGTTTCTCATAAAACAATGACAATAAAAAACTGATTTCAAAGGCTGGTCCATAACTGATTTCAAGGTCCGGGTGCACGGAACATACCCAACACCTACTTACCAGGTCCAGGGCGGAGCCGCCACCAAGATACTCCATTATTATCCAGAGCTTCGTGTCCTGCACAAACGGAAACAAGAAAGGGCACAGTTATTCTTAAAATAGAGCCAAAAAAATATTCACAGTAACTGAGAGTCTGTCCCCACTGTGTTGGCTCCAGAAAGCATTCTACCTTCGCATCAGCAAGGAAAGCTGTCAGGACAGGGACCGCCATGCACACAAGGCCGCCTCCAACAACTGGGGAGCGGTGATGTCCTGCAGGGCCCCTGCTGCAGGTTCCACTAAGGACAGTGTTGCAGACCAGAACCTCAGAGAGCGACAAGGACATGTCCATCTCTAGACTACCTCCTTAGTGAGCCTCGGCTAGAGCAGGGCCTGAGAACCTGCGGATGAGCCAAGCCCGGAAAGGACAGCTCACCTGGGCGCTCACGATGACGAGAAGCGAGGTACTTCCTGTCCCCTAGCAATGCAGTGCTCCCAGAAATAGGTCAGCCAATGTGGCACCCCCAATCTACTCGCTGTGCAGAACGGCAGCTGATTTTTAGCACCTCCAAAGGTTTGGTGCTTTCTCCCTTCAGGGAGCTTTCCAGAAAAGCAGGCCCAGCCTAGCACTGTGTGTCCTTTCAGTCTCTCACAAATGCCAGGGTTCTCTTGTATCTGTGGGTACCCAAGGGGGTCCTACAAGCAACGCCCCTGAGATACAGAAGGACTGAAAGCAGCATCCTCATTGCTTACTCCATGCTTTATGGCAGCTGTGTATTCACTGAAAAAGAGAGCGAAGCAAAGCAATAGGCCCTTTCTGATCACAGGGCAGAAGCCCACCCGGAGCTCCCTTGTCCTCCTGTAAGAGGAGCTTCTGGAACGTGTTCCTCCCAGGTCTTTTCACTTTTGCAGTTCCCCAAGTCAGGAAACTTCACGTGCTTCCCTCCCTGCACCCTGAACAGACTACTGACAAGGGCACAGTGTTTCTTCTGGATTTCCTTCTCTGTGCCGCCCCGTTAACAGTGCACTTGAGCTGAGGACACCTCTGGGCCCAAGGAAAGACAACTACACAGACTTAAAACTCCCTTTAGGGAGGTCCTGGCACATGCACTGCGTCCATGGGAGAAATTATCTTTAATATTTAAGTTAAAGTCTGCTGTGTGGCATTATTCCTACAGCAGCCCACATGAAGAGTCCATGTTCTAATGTATGCAGAAGGCGTTCTCAGGCTTTTCAATGTCCTGGACCACTGACTGGCAAGGGCTCGGGATCCACAGGACAGGCGCAAAGCCAGTACTCAGCCAGCACAGGCACCTGCCTCCAGAAGGGTCCACGATGCCCCTTTCTGATTTTAAGAATACTTCCTGTCACAGACGGTTCAGGAAGATGCTGGTCTGCAGGTTTCTGTAAGGCCAGCTTGCTGGGGAAGGTGCAGTCACTCCTTCCAGGCATTTCAAAAGCATCCTGTCTGAGGGGCACAAACAAACTTCCATGGGAGACATCTTTCTGCTGGTTGACACGGGAAATCTGCTGTTTTCTCCGAGAGGCTTTGGAGCTCACTATCTCTGCTCGAACTTTCTTATATTTGGCTTTGGTTGGACTCAGCTCTGAAACCTCTTGTTTTCTGAAGGCTTAAGTTTATTACCAGCAAGATAAGCACTGAGCAGGGAGGGAAGTCCCCCAAAGTCTCCCCGCCCCTCCCCCCAACCACTAGTGGTACCATCACACCTTGGGACCCAAGCTTCTGCTGTCATCAGGAAGCAAGGCACCAGTGACTACTCGCCCTCCCTCACCCCTCAGCATTCCAAAGCTCCACCCTCCTTTCTTCCTGCGTCCACCTACCAAAACAACCCTCTGGCCTTCCTTCTTCTGCCTTTCCAAGGAGCCTCAGCGCGACTCCCTGACCCATTTATGCTGGGAAGTGCCCACGCCCAAAGCCAGAATCACACCCTCTTGTGACAAAGGTCCCCTCCTTCCTGGGTAGAAAGAGGGGATACCACATTGGCTCCTTCCTGGGAGCAGACCTGCTGGGTGGGGACACTGCCAGACAGGATCCCCCCAGATCTAATGCTCTTATTCGGGTCACTGCTTCTTAATACCTGTGCCTACTCTCTCTAGCACCTCGTTGGCTGAACCTGCTTCTCAGGCTGCTGAATGAATATGCAATCGCTGCTGCTGCTGCTGCAGGAGCCACCCTGGGAAACCCTCACCACCGCTAGAGTCCTGTCAACTCCCAAGGCTCCGCAGGTACCACCACTAAAAACTGAGGACAACCAACAAACAGCACAGAGGGAGCTTTGCAAGGGGAGCCAGCTGACAGGGACTTGAGGGACAGTAACAAAGGCCAGCCCTTCCAAGTAAGTGGAAAGTTGCAGCTGAAATTCTGTCCCTGCTGCCCATCTCATCCTCCAGCAGGTGGACCCCTCCCCTCCCTACCGGTCACCCCCTACTGCCCACACTGCTCTGTGTCACCAGTCCCTACACTTCTCTGCACCCTCTGCTCTCCTCTCCAGGTCCAGGGAGCCTGAAGCTGTGGGTTCTGTCCTGCTCCTCCCCTCCTGGCCAGAACCATTCCCCAACTGTAACACCAGTTCCGAGGGTAACCAGGACAGGGACAGGGTGATTGTGATCTTGGAACTGCCCAGGGCTGGCATCTAGGCTAAGCCGCACTAATGTCCACCCTGAGGCCTGCACCTCAGAGGCAGAATAGAGCCCCACTCTGGATGCCTGAGGTCCTCAATGTGCCACCTGTCATAGTGCCCAGTGACCACACCACCACTGACCCTACAACAAGAACTGGCTGAAAGGATACAATGCCCCTCACTGCTGTGGGGAGCTGGCTCCAAGACCCCCAGAGGCACCCAGATCCCTCTGTGAAACAGTATTTGCCTGCAACCTCCACACAGCACATCCTCCCACATCCTCTAAACCACCTCAGATCATTTTCAACAGTTAACAATGTAAATGCCACGCAAATAGTGTTGTTTACAGAAAAATGACAAAGGAAAGTCTATGCTTGTTCAGTGAAGACACAATCCCTGCCACCAACATTTCTAAGTCCCTACTGGCCAATGTGCAAACATGAACCCAAAAATACAGGGGCTCGACTCAGCAAACCTCCTGGTTTTTTCTAAGACTTCAGTTATCAGTAGCCCAGAGTATTTGTCTTGACTCAACACAAAGAGAGAGACATCACATTCACATGACTTTTTGTTACAATATATTGTTACCCCTGTGTTTTATCCTGTTATTGTTAGTCTCTTACTGTGCCTGTTAGTTAAACTTTACAAAGCATAATTATGCCCTGGAACTGATGCAGTGTACAGGCAAGCTGCACACTGTACCTTGGAACAAACCTCCCACGGTAAGGCAGGACCATGGTACAGTGAAACTCCAGCCAGAAGACTACTACTGACTACTACTGGTCACTCACGAAGGCATGCTAGGCTTCACATTCCTCACCCTAAACAGATGATAACAAGCCAGGCACAGTGGAACACACATATAAACTCAGATTTAGGGAGCCTGAGGCAGGAGAATCAAACAGTCAAGTCCTGCCTAGATAATTTAGTTGAAATCTTTTTTTTTTTTTTTTAACTTTTTATTGGTACCAGGGATTGAACTCAAGACCACCTGCTTGAAAGGCAGGTGCTTATGCCGCTGAGCTAAATCCCCAGCCATGCCTAGATAATTTAGCAAGAGCCTGTCTCAAAAAATCAAAAGGGAGAGGATACAGCTCAGCAGGAAGGCTCTAGCTTCAGTTCCCAGTGGGAAGCAGGAGGGATACTTCACACCCCACCATTTACATCACAATAAAATGAGGCCATGAAGTGAGAGCACCTCTAAAGTCCAAGGTACTGAGCAAATGCAAAGTTCCCTGCCCAGAAATAACCAAATAAAACCAAATTGGCTTAATTAGCAAGCCTCAACAGTCCCTGGGCAAAAGCAAACCTGGAACAAGGATTCATTTGCACCCTGAACCGAGGCAAGAGTGCTTGGGAAGGGAGGCCTGGCCAGGTTGCTTGGGGACAGGGCCATGTGTGCCACCACCAAGCCAGACAGAGATGAAGGACTAGGGTCCTCCCGAAGCCTTTCCAAGAATGCCTTGCTCTCAGGAAAAATACAGAGCTACCTTCAGAACCTAAAAACATGTTTTTCAATGTATTTTTCTTTTTTTGAGAAAGGGTGTTACTGTGTAACCCTGGCTGGCCTTGTACTTCCCAAGCTGCCCATGATGATTTCCAACCCACTCAGTCCTGCCTCAGCCTCCAAAGTGCTGGGATGACAGGTGCCCTCTCCGTAACTCCTGGCATCAAATGATTCTTTTGTTTCACTTTGTGGTTCAGGTTGGCCTTGGGCTCTCTTTGTAGCCCAAGCTGGTCTCAAACTTGCAATGATCCTCCTGCTTCAGCCGTGTGCTGGGATTACAGGAGTGTGCCACCATGCCCAGCTGGCATCAGATTCTAACCAGAATCATTTTTAAGTGATCTCAATGGAAATTATGAATGACCTCATAAAGTTTTCTCCTAAGTGAAACAACATAACAGTTAATTAATAAGCTGATTCAGGAGTCATAATGTTTAAAAGGTACCAAAGTGTACAAAGGGATAAGCTCCCCTCCCACCCTTGGCCCCTGCTGCCTGACCCCACATCAAGCAAGTTATCACCGACTCTTATGCAACCTTGGAGAATTACCCTACACACTGGAACAAGCCCCTCTCTTCTCTTCTGCCGGGGCCACACTCTACGCACAGTGGGGTTTGCCTTGCTCTTTACTAAAACCTTCCCGCAGAGCCTTCCACAGAGACCCACCAAGAGCTTCAGATGGTTTGTCTAGGAAATGCACCCCCTGCACAGCACCTGGGGGTGCTCAATTTCCTGTCCTTGGCCAATACTGGTAATCACAGTCCCACTTTTATTGTTGTTTCCATGACCTGAATTGTGCTCCTCCTCCACCAACAGCAAACTCAAGCCTGAGCCCTTGTCCCTCTGCATCTCAATCACAGAAAGGTCTCTAAAGAGGTAATCACAGTATAACCAGGGTATGGGGTGGACCCTAACCCACCAGGACTGTCACC